TAATAAAAAGAACACGTACCACGAACCAGGTGCTACATCTTAACTGGAAAAGGGATCTCTCACAATTTCTCTCCACCTTACACTCCTCAACAGAACGGTGTAGTTGAAAGATGAAATGTTCTCTTTGCGAAGCGGCAACGGCGATGTTATCATTTGCGAATCTTCCTCTCTATTTCTGGGTCGACGCTATTGCAACTGCTTGCTTCACACAAAATCGATCTTACATAAACAAAAGATTTTTGATTACCCTTATGATATGCTGAACAATAGGAAACCTAACGTAAAATTCTTTCATGTTTTTGGATCCAGGTGCTTTCTTCTCAACTCTAGAGAAAATCAGAACAAGTTCAATGTGAAGGAAGACGAAGGAATTTTGTAGGTTATTCTCTAACCTCAAAGGTGTATAGAGTTCTGAACAAGAAGTTAAAAAGAATTGAAGAAACCTACTATGTCACCTTTGATGGTAACTACATGAAGAGATATCAGAAAGAAGATTGTTCGTCTGGGGAAATCTTTCCATTAACAAATTCAACGACTATTCCTCTTATGAATTTGTATGAGGAATTTCTAAATTTGTTTGATGAGCCTGACAAAGCCATTTCCTCATAATCAAAGGCTAAGGATAACAAAGAAGATGAATTAAAGAAGATAGTTAATGAAGTTGCTTAAAGCATCAAGACTTCTCAGGAACAACCAATTCTGAATGCTTCTGAATTGCCAAATCCGCCACAACCTGCTGATGCTCCATTCCGGGTGGAGGGTTCCACTTCTAACTCCAAAACAGATGATACATTCCAAGGGGGGGGATCCGATTCCGAACATAGGTCACATGCAAACTTCCAGGGGGAGAACAAATATAATGACTCAAATGAACAATTGGAATTTGAAGATGTTTATGTAGAAATCGATCCAGCTCTTGATCCAAATTATCCTCCGATGATTAAGTAGACCAAATATCATCCACAATCTCAAGTGATAGGAGACTCATCCTTGGAGTTCTTACACGGGCTCAACAAAAAGCAAAACAAATTGCATTATTTTAAAAATTGGTATTTTGCATGTTTAACTCTTTCATTTCTAAAATTAAGCCTAAACCTGTTAAAATTGCTCTTGATCATGCAGATTAAGTGTAAGCTATGTAAGAGGAAGTAAAAGATTTGATAGAAATAAAGTGTCAAGATTTGTTCTCGCTCAGAAGGATGCTTATGTTGTCGGAATGAAATGGTTGTTTTGGAATAAAATGAACAAAGAAGGAAACATAATCTGAAACAAGGTATGCTTGGTCATTAAAGGCTACTGTCAAGAAGAAGGAATTGACTACGAAGAGACATTCACACGAGTGGCTATACTGGAATCTATTCGGATTTTTCTCACGTATGCAACTCACAAAAACTTTGATGTATATAAAATAGATGTGAAGTGTGCATTTCTGAATGGTGAACTAGAAGAAACCGTCTATGTTGAACAACCAATTGGCTTTGTGAATGAAAAGTATCCGAATCATTGCTATGTTCTCATTAAAGTGATATATGGTCTCAAACAAGCACCGAGCGCATGGTATGAAACTCTGACTTGATTTCTTAAGCAATCTAAATCTAAACAAGGTACTTTTGATCCAATCTTCTTTTGTAAGAAGGAGGTTAACCATCTAATCATTGTTCAAATTTGCGTTGATGACATTATTTCGGATCTACAAATCCCAGCCTTACAGCTAAATTCTGAATGTTAATGGAAACTAAATTTGAAATGAGTTCAATGGATAAAATTAACTTTTTCCTTGGCTTGAATATAAGATAGAGTTCAGAAGTTATTTTCATCAACCAAGAATCCTTCACAAAGACCTTATTGGTGGAATTTGGAATGGTGGGTGATTCTAAAGTCAAACTTTAAATGGCTTTCGAAACAATACTCACACCTTCACTTGATAAACCAGCAGATGATATGACTTTGTATCGTCAAATGGTTAGACCTTTGTTATACTTAACTTATGGTCATCCATATATCATGTTTTTTGTGTGCTATTATGCCAGATTTCAAGCTAACCCTAGAGAACCTCACATTTTTGCAGTCAAGAACATCTTTCAGTATATGAAGGTCTTGTGGATCCATAATCAATTTCCAACATTGCCATCATCGTGATGTTCTATCATATGGGATATATTGGCGACATCGCTTTATTGTCAAAGTCCAGGAAGCCCTTTCTTCCTTCTATGTGGAATGGGCTTTTCAGTCTCCTAATCAAGAGCTTTTCTAAAAGAATTACGGGATCGGACAGCGCAAGCAAGCTGTTCTATTCTCTGATTTATGGCCTCTATCAAGGAATCAATCTGGATTGTGGTGCTATTCTATGTTCTCAATTCATCCAAAGCACAGTTTCTACCACTTGGTACTCAGAGATAACTTATGCTAGGTTTTGGTCAATTGTGGTCAACCGTGCACTCGGACATTTTAAAGTTCCACCAATGACTGATTCAGTGATGGCTATTATTCCGACTCTCACTTTTGTTGTCAGATCCTAGAAACTTCACTTTTGTTGGTACTATTCTGAAGGAGATGTTGGTGAAAGTTCCAACTGACAATGTGATCATGAATGAATATCGAAAACTACCATTTGGCTGATGATCGCCTCATAAATGATGAGTTACGTAAGTTGATTAAGGAGGGTACCAAACCGAAGAGTGGAGGGAAGAGAAAAGTGAAAGCTAGTCCTTCTGAAGTTGTCAAAACTCCCAAATGGACCAGAAAGCTTGTTAAGAAACCGAGATCTCCATCTCCGGTTACTCAAGAAGATTCAGATTCAAGAACTATTACAGAAATCTAAAACAAAGATACAATTCACCATGAGGAAGAGGATATTGCAGCTACTTTGGAACCCACTCCTACTGAACCACTTCTGAATGTATCATCTCAACCTCCTACATCCATTCCTATTTTGGATGTCTTTTATTCGTTTTCTCCACCATCTTCACCAATCATAACTTTTGTTCCAATATCATCTATCCCACCACTACAACCAAACATTTATGTTGGAATTTCACTTCCTCATAATTCCATCCCTTTAACCTCAACCATTTTTATTGATTCCACCCCTCCAACCACTTCCTCTACTACCACTCCACCAGAAATCCTGATTGTCAAGTCTGTTCCAGAGGCAACTATGGCTTCGGACTTTAATGTCAACATATCAGATATGGGGGAAAATGTCAATTCTAGTGTGACTTCATATCTGGACACATCCATTGTTCCTCCTACAAACGATTCTGATGATATTATGTATGGAGATGATCCTGGATCCTTTATGGATTTTGTTTTTATCCCCTTCACTATCAATCTTAATACTGATGATGATGATGCCCCAATGACAAAAGCGTAGTTCAAGCAGCTTAATAAGAAATTTGATTCTCTTTTTGAGTCTTCCAAATCCTCGTCTTCATCCAACTAGGAGTATCTGTTGACAACCCACAACGCCATAGTGGAGATGTTGACAAAAGAAAATGAAAACTTCTTGAGGAATCTATCAAGGCAATTAAAGGTTCCGAACAGAATAATTTAGAGACAACTGCAAAAGTTGAAAAAGTTTCTCAAGAAGTGAAAAACTTTATGTTTAAGTTCAGAACTTCATCTGTCTCCAACACCAAGGACATGAATAAAGTTATTTTAGGGTTTTGTAATTCCTTACAAACTGAGAAGGAGGCACTTTCTATTGTTCATTCAGCAATAGAGGTTGACAATGCTGAACTCAACGCCTCTGTTCTTACGAAGATCGAATAATTGTAGGAGGAGTTGTCCACAGAAAACAAAATTATGGATCAGTTGGCTGAAAAGACTCAGAAGGCCAGGGTCCTTTTTGTAAAGCTGCAATATACCAACAAGTGTGTTAATGATATGGAATCAGAGAAAACAGTTGTTAAAATTTGTGTTTGTGAAATCAACCAATACTTGAAAAGGCTTGTGGAGACTCGTGACTCCTTTTTCACAGTCTCAGTTCGACAACAACTTTCGGACAAACTACAAAAAGTCTTTGCTATGCTAAATCAGATAAAAGGTGTTTCGGGGAGTGGAGGTCTTCCAAAACAAGGGGAAGAAACAAAGAAAAATCCCATGCATAGAAAACGACTGAAGATCATGAACCAAAACTGAAGATTGATGATTAAAAGGGTAATAAAGCTTTTGCGTCAAACAAAGGCAAAAAGAAACTTTTTGATGAAGAAGAAGAAGAAGAAGAAGAAGAAGAAGAAGAAGAAGAAGAAGAAGAAGAAGAAGAAGAAGAAGAAGAAGAAGAAGAAGAAGAAGAAGAAGAAGAAGAAGAAGAAGAAGAAGAAGAAGAGAAGAAGAAGAAGAAGAAGAAGAAGAAGAAGAAGAAGAAGAAGAAGAAGAAGAAGAAGAAGAAGAAGAAGAAGAAGAAGAAGAAGAAGAAGAAGAAGAAGAAGAAGAAGAAGAAGAAGAAGAAGAAGAAGAAGAAGAAGAAGAAGAAGAAGAAGAAGAAGAAGAAGAAGAAGAAGAAGAAGAAGAAGAAGAAGAAGAAGAAGAAGAAGAAGAAGAAGAAGAAGAAGAAGAAGAAGAAGAAGAAGAAGAAGAAGAAGAAGAAGAAGAAGAAGAAGAGAAGAAGAAGAAGAAGAAGAAGAAGAAGAAGAAGAAGAAGAAGAAGAAGAAGAAGAAGAAGAAGAAGAAGAAGAAGAAGAAAGAAGAAGAAGAAGAAGAAGAAGAAGAAGAAGAAGAAGAAGAAGAAGAAGAAGAAGAAGAAGAAGAAGAAGAAGAAGAAGAAGAAGAAGAAGAAGAAGAAGAAGAAGAAGAAGAAGAAGAAGAAGAAGAAGAAGAAGAAGAAGAAGAAGAAGAAGAAGAAGAAGAAGAAGAAGAAGAAGAAGAAGAAGAAGAAGAAGAAGAAGAAGAAGAAGAAGAAGAAGAAGAAGAAGAAGAAGAAGAAGAAGAAGAAGAAGAAGAAGAAGAAGAAGAAGAAGAAGAAGAAGAAGAAGAAGAAGAAGAGAAGAAGAAGAAGAAAGAAGAAGAAGAAGAAGAAGAAGAAGAAGAAGAGAAGAAGAAGAAGAAGAAGAAGAAGAAGAAGAAGAAGAAGAAGAAGAAGAAGAAGAAGAAGAAGAAGAAGAAGAAGAAGAAGAAGAAGAAGAAGAAGAAGAAGAAGAAGAAGAAGAAGAAGAAAGAAGAAGAAGAAGAAGAAGAAGAAGAAGAAGAAGAAGAAGAAGAAGAAGAAGAGAAGAAGAAGAAGAAGAAGAAGAAGAAGAAGAAGAAGAAGAAGAAGAAGAAGAAGAAGAAGAAGAAGAAGAAGAAGAAGAAGAAGAAGAAGAAGAAGAAGAAGAAGAAGAAGAAGAAGAAGAAGAAGAAGAAGAAGAAGAAGGAGAAGAAGGAGAAGAAGAAGAAGAAGAAGAAGAAGAAGAAGAAGAAGAAGAAGAAGAAGAAGAAGAAGACAAAGAAGAAGAAGAGGAAGAAGAAGACGAAGAAGAAGAAGAAGAAGAAGAAGAAGAAGAAGGAGCCTTCTGAATCTGAGAAGCTTATGCAAAAGAAGAGAGACAAAGAACTTGATGATCTTCTGAAAATTTGGAAGGAGTTAGAAGCACAAGAAGCTGAGGCTAAAATTAAAAAATTTGCGCTTGAAACTCAAAATTCATTCTTTCCTCCATGGTCGACTATTAGAATTTAGAAAGAAGCCATTGATGATCTAAGCATCTATTGGCTTGAGCCTTTGGTATATTTTGATCGGAATAACGAAGCAAATTCTCAACTTGATTTTCCCATTACACCCAGTGCTTTTATGTTTCGATGCTTAGAGAAGGTAGAAAAGACTCGGATTTCTAACAAAGAGGTGAATCTGAAACTCTTCAATTTCTACTTGACGTATGCTAAGCCTGAGTATCAGACTTGGAGCCTGAAGAGGATTATGGGTTTGAAGGTTTGCTCGGCTGTGCATACTGAAGATTTTGTGAACATAGGGTTCAAGGGATTTTGTAGCGTCGATAAGGTGTTGGATTAGTTCACTTCGGCAGACTTGCCATTTATTAATCCATACGACTGGATCTCTCTGTTCAACATTGTTCTAAAAGACAAAAAGATGTACAATCTCATCGTTCCCCATCTGAAAAGGATGCTTATCTGCTATATCCTTGAGATTGTGAAGATGGATATAGAGATAGCATTGGTTTTGCAAAAAAAGAAATCCTACTATGAAACACGAAGAGGAGCCTAAGGACGTTATGAAACTGAAGCTGGGAGTTATTCAGAAAGAGCACTGGAGTATCACGAATAACCGAAAGGTTGGTGATACTGTTCAGAAGAGTGTTCTTTCTAAGAGACAAACATCTCTATTTTACTACCGCTCTAAAGACTATGCTCTCAATGGTTGAAACATGCAAAGCGAACTCCGGTGCATATCTGAAATGCTTCACGGATATGATGATGTTGTATCTCAGTGTCCGAAATGTGCTTCTGAATTTAATGCCCAAACTTTTCAACGTGCAGAAAAGACAACAGTGAAGACTCTCCTTCGAAATTTGACACAAATGGGGGGATTTTTAGGCTTAATAGTGTTGTGTCAATTGTATCCATAGTATAGTTTGTTTTATTCTATTTTGGGCCTTTTAGTTTTCAATTCTTCTTTCTAGCTTAGACTATATATAGTGCATGCATGTAACATTAGGGTTCACGTATGCAATCCTAGTTGTCATTTGTATGCTCTTACAGAGAAGTTCTCAAGAACTCTTCTAGAGTTGATTAATAAAACCATTAGGCACACGTTTTATCTTCATTGTTCTTGTCTTTAATACACATCATTATTATAGAATCTATCAATCTTATTTAATTTTCTAACAAATCCCAAAATTAATTCTGAATTGATTTCTGATTAACTATTAATTAAATAATATGATTTCTAATTAATATATTATTTTCATAAATATAATAAATTCATTTTAATTTAAAATTAATTTAAATATCATATAATAAATTAATAACCTAGTCTCTCTCTCTCTCTCTCTCTCTCTAAAAGTCATCCTATTTAATTACTAGGTTTGAGAGCAACCCAAAAGGACATTGCTAATAATTCAAGATTATACTGATTTAGTAATTGGCTTTCACACCTAATCCAACAATATCATATAGTCATATCATTAATAGTCACATAGTCATATACATCTTACCCATATGAATCAGCGGGCCAGCATTGGTGCCTTCGATGCACTAGTATGGTGAGAGGACTCACCTTACAAAAAATGCTCAACTGTTATAGCACTCAGTAATAGAGTACCACTGTACAAACACCTAAGCAGTCATCCAAATAAAATTTAAGTTCTTCCTCTGAAATAGGTGTTTAATCAAAAGTCTGCTCAAGTCAAAGGTTAATGGTGAACGTTGACTTTGGTCAACTATCACATCGTGGCCACCTATGGCCACACGGTGGCCCTCCCACCGCCATGCTATGGCGACTTGAGCCACATTGTAGGCACTAGGTTTTTAGCAGCTTAATGGATTAAGCTGCTTTCTTCGATCCCAAAGTGTCCAGATTTCAAATCTGGTTTGAAATAAGGTCTAAAAGGATAAAGTTTCAAAATTTAACTGATAAGACCATCCAATAATGTCAAGACCTCAAACCTTATATTCAAAGTAGCTAAATATGACATGATTTTCCCCATTAAGCACTTTACCCATAAAGTCTACAAACCATTTACTACCAAAACAGATTCTAATACCTAATCCAAGATAAAAGCTGGTGATTTATAAACATGCATGTCCAATGCATGTATTGAAACCACAATGATTAAAATAAGGGTTTTTTTATGGAAATATCATGCAAATCTCAAAAACCATCTATAACTAGATCCAAACCAATAATTATACCCAAAAGTCCTATAGATTCATAAAGTTGAAATCTTTATGAAATCCCATCAATCGAACTTACAAAACATGAAGACTAAGGGGACAAAACATAAGATATAACAACCTATTTTGATAAAGATCAACTCTTTGACACTTATAAGGGTCTAGAAGATTGCTAAAATAAATGATGAGGACTATCTTGTTGAATCCAAAGCTCACTTCTTCTTCTTGCACCCTTCCAAGGCTTCAAGAACACCAACAAATGCACAAAAATGAGGGAGAGGGAGATTTACGGTTTCATAGGAAAGATGGAGGCTAATGGAGGTTGAGGGTGAGCAAACCCTAGCCTCCTCATTCATTTAAATAGGTAGAAAAACCTAAAAAATAAGGTCTTCTCAGTTTCCAACTACCACACCATATCCTATACTGCCACATTGTGGCAGATTAAATGAACTACACGGGTTGACGTTAATTTGCTATGTCATGGTGCCTCCCCACCATGTCATGACGATCAAATAAAGGGCCAAATTTTCAAAATGTAAAGTATATTGGGATCTAGAAATTACAACTCTCCCCCACTAGAATAGGACTTCATCCTCAAAATCCGCCTTCGCAAATAACTCGGGGTAATGTTGTCTCATCTTGAACTCTAGCTCCCACATCGAATCAGAACCTTTTCAGAGCTGTCATTGCACCTTCACTATTTTCACCTCTTTGTTGTGCAAAAACTTTATCTTTCTATCAAGAGTCGCAATCGATCTCTCTAAATAATTCAGGTACTCATCGACCTAAATGTCATCCAAAGGAATCATCGCAGAATCAATGGCTAAACACTTCCATAACTGAAAGACATGGAAATTGTTGTGTATCTGAATGAGCTCATCAGGAAACTCCAAACAGTATGCAACATTGCCCAACCGGGCGATAATCCTAAAAGGATAGACAAATTGGGGACCTAGCTTTCCCCGCTTCCAAAATCGGATGACGCCCTTCTAAGGAGACACCTTTGAAAGCACCAAATCCCCCACCTGAAAATCAAGAGGCAAATGATGTTGGTCGGCATAACTCTTCTCTCGACTCTATGCAACCCGCCACCTGTCACGGACCTATTGAATCATCTTCGTGGTCTTAAGTACTACTTTAGTACTCCACATAACATGATGCCCGACATCGCCCCAATAAATCAGGGTCCTACATATCCTCCTATACAACATCTTAAAAGGTGTTTCATCAATACTGATATTGTAACTATTGTTGTAGGAGATCTCGGCCAGTAGAAGATAAGTATCCCAACTCCCTCCAAAATATAACACGCACGCCCGGAGCATATCTTCGAGCGTCTGAATCGTCCATGATAGATTCCATTTTATGCATCTTTTAGGGAATTTTTTTATTAACATTTACCATCATATTATGTATATTTGCATGTCATTGGTTTAAATAATGTTCAAATTATGTCTTTTATCATAATTCTCGTACTGTTAGCATTTTTGTGTGTCATTTTCTAATATTTCGAGTGGAGCGGTACTTCGGGAGCATTTGGATGCATATTTGGAGCCTAAATGGAGTTGGAACTGAAGAAGGGTACTAGGAATGACTTAGAGTGCTTAAACTAAATAATTGTGTCCAGATATACCCAAAAACCCAAACTGTGATCGCAGATATGGACATTTGCGTTCGTATAAATGTTTTGGGGTTTTGCAAGGTCGAAAAATGCCATAGGCAAAAAAAACTAATTTTTGAATTCACATTTTTCTTACGTAACTCCCGAAACATTAGAAATAGCATCGTACTTCATTTAAAGGAAAATCTGGAAAAAAAATCAAAATTTTGCAATTGCATATCCTATTTCCACGATTGCATTTCCTGCTAACTTGCTTCGTAAGCTTCTGTCTTACATATAAATACGTCCCTCATAATCAGATTTGAGGGGGAGATGGTTCCAGGTGACGAAATACCCTTCTTAGGAGATTGCTAACACTTTTCAACACTTTCTGAAGATCTGAAGGCTTTGAATCATCTCATACACTTAGTTTAGAATATTAATCGGTTCATTTTTCTTTTTACTAGTTTAGATTCGTTTTTAGCCATATCTAGCTAAAACCCTAGTTTTCAGTTTTGCATTAGACTAGTATTTTTTGTGTGATTACTTATTAGATCATATTTTCATTGTGTGTTTCTATCTAGTTGTTTCAGTTTTGAGCTTAATGAATGTTTGATTTTAAATTCTTATTGGCTTGATCACCTAGCTAGGGTTTTGTCATTCTAGTTAATCAGTTAATAGAATCCGTAATTATTCTTGTATAGTGGCAATAAGTAACAAGTATCAGATTGGTTCCGTGTTAGGGATTTAACTATGATATAAACTAGAATATCATATCTTTACTCTTCTGAGCTTGTGAGAAGTATTGATTATTGATTGGGAATTTTACACAAACCCTAATGCAAATTTTCTGATCATAATTAAGAGCTTGTTTAATTCGACAGTAAAAAGTTAGGGTTAATTCAAAGAGCTTTTTTGGTTAACTAATTAGGAAAAGAGATTATACTAGATCTTGTTAGTTTTTCTTAATACCAGCTTAGAAAGAACACATTTTGAATAACCAAATTTGGGCTGATTGGATGTGTACGAAAGTCACAGCTGAACTGAATACATTTTTATTACTGAGTTTTATTTAGTTTTATTTTCACTGCAATTTTAGTTTTCAGTTGATAATAAAAAAAAATCCCCCTTTTTATATGTTATGTTTTGACTAAAATGTGCCTTACGCAAAAAGGCATTGACCATTAGGATGTGTCCCTAAGGATTCGACCCTTGTTCCCTACGTTATACGTTAGTGCAACCAACTGTGGAATATTATTTGCTTAATAAGCTCGCGACGGCATGTTAAAAAATTGGCACTATTGGCAGGGACACAATGCTTCTAATAGTTTTATGTCAAGAAAATTTCGTACAAGAAAACTAAAGAAATAAGCAGCAATGAAAAAACAATCAGTTGGTTTCTTTGGTTCATCCTCTTTAGTACCTCTAGAAATCACCACACCACAAGGCAAACCCTTGTTGAACGAACCAGATCTGACTTTCCTGTTTTTCCCACAAGTACCTCCATCTTTGCCTTCTGATAGTCCCTTTAAAACTTGCTCTCCATCATCCTCAGTTAA